CTTTAGAGATAACTGATTATGGACTGAAACTTCCCATACTGTGATCTAAAAAATAATTACCTTCCTTAATTTTTGACATTGGGTATTTTGTCTCAGCCAGGAGAGGAAAGGAACCATGGCAGAATTTGCTAGCAGGACTGGGGTCATTCCTGTGATGATGCCTGATGATGTGGTTCAAAAATCTTTGGAATGGCTTGTGGAAAGAAATTGAAAAGGTTTGGAGATGTCCCATTAAAGAGTATTTATGGAATGCATTAGGTTGTTCTGTATGGGAGATTCTAGTCGAATTTCAGAGTTCCAGAATACTGATAAGAAATCTTGCCCACAAAAACCAGGCTTAGGAGGTTTCTCCTAAGAAGAAGGACTGCATTGGCTATTAGATTCCAGATGATGTGGGTTACAGCTTGGCAGAAAGTTTGTCTGTACTTTGTTGGTATCCTGAGACTAAGATCAAGGATAGTGGACTGATTATTCTTGGAGAGGAAATTTAAAATCATTTGGCTGTTGAAGCTGCAGTATGGCTATTGTTGGGGGCTTTTAGCCAGATTTATGCTGTAAATCAATCACACAGAGCCCAGTAGGATGATTTAAAATGGGAGTTTGGCCAGATAGAAAGCTCCAGTAAATATATGGACTACAAAGATAGAGATAAAGAGATTCATATTGCTGAGAAGAAACAGGAAAATGGAGAATATGGCCTGAGGGCATCATAAGAAGCAGTAAGTACACACCCTTTGCAGGCTCGAAATTACAAAGTGAAAGACGTTTTGTTATGAGGAGAAAACAGCAGAGCATCATGTCCTAAAATGGTAGCAGCATAGAAAATTTGTTTCTTAGAATTGAAGTCAGAAGGTCTATCCATCCAGGCACTCAATCCCTACAGCCAAGAGAGAGGAAAGTCTGGCTACTGCTCCAGCTGGCAGCTGACCTTGGTGATATCTATGTAGTATTGGTTTCAAGGGCAGGAAGAATGCAAGAGTTCTTAGGTTTAAAAGGCTTCCACCATGATTTCAGAAGGCCTGGGAGGCCAAGCAGTGTGCCCCTGAGGCAGCAGTGTGTGAAGCTGGGCGGGAGCAGCCTAACATGTAGTGGAGACCCCACAAGTCAGAAAAAGCCAGAAAAGTGGATCATCTAAAGAAAGATGCAAGGAGGGAGTAAAGTAGGTCCAGGAGAAGCTGTGGGAGCTGTAACTACTAGAGGCTTCATAAGGGTGGAGTTATGCAAGCCCTTTGGATCTTACAATGTTCCACAGATTGCTTCAAATGCTGGATATGAAACTGCAGGACTTAGCATTTGCCCGGCTGGACTGTGGACTTGCTTTGGTCCAAAGCTTTTGTATGTTTCTGTTCGTAACTTTTGGAATGAAAATGCTTACTTTGTGCTGTTGAATGTTGGAAGCCTCTAACTTTTTATTTATACTGGGGCTTTCAAGTAAGAGTTTGCCTAAATTTGAGAGACGACTTGTGGTTTGGACTTTTCAGCAATGTTGAAACTGTTAGGATTTTGGCAACTAATTCAGATGGACTAAATGCTTCTTGCAAAAAGGAATGTTTATGAGTCTTCAGGAGAACAGGGGCAGAATTTTGTGGTTCTAATGTTAATAGACCTATTATGTGACTGATTGCCATGTTTCCCAGTGTTGAATTGTGAAGGTTGATCTATTGTATCAATTTAGGAAGTTTAGAAGTTTATCTAAGGGTCATATCCAGGAGCCAGAGCCCTTACTTGGTAAATAGCCTGATGTTGTGCAAGAGATTATGAATGCTACACCCACCATAGGGGGTGGTACCCAGCATCAAATGTAAAGGAGAGAAAGAGGTTGGCTCTTGCTTGCCCATGTGCTCTTGCATTCTTCTGCCACCTTGAACTGTTGGCCCCGTGCCATGCCACCCTGCCGAGGCACCGGCTGATCATGGACTAAGACCTCCACAAGTGGCAAGCTAAATAAATGTTTAGTTCCCTAATTTTTGGTGTTGAGTATTTTCTCTCAGCAAGGAGAGAAAAGTAACCAAGACAGCAATATTTACTGTTTATTCTACCTTTCCACAATCTTGGTTTATCTTTTTTACTTTCTCTTATCCTCTGTCATCTTCTTTTCAGAGTACAATCGTTGTCTTTGTAGAGGTCTTTTACTTTATTTATCAGGTTAATTTTTTTTTTCTTTTTCTGGTAATTCTTTAGTTTTTACTTTTTCTTGAAGCTGTTGTGAACTGTATTATTTGCATAATTATTTTGGGGATTCATCATCATTGTACAGTGAAGTCATTGATTTATGTGTTGATTTTGAATCCTGCTACTTTCATGAATTTGTTTTTAGTTCCAAAAGTCTTTTGGTGGAATATTTTTGGGTTTCTATATAAAACATGATGTGCCCTATCTAAAACAGACCTCGGCATATGACAGTTTGACTTCTTGTTGTATACCTATGTCTTTTATTTGTTTCTCTTGTCTGATTGCTGTTGCTCACATTTCAAGTGCTACATTGAAAAGAATTGATAATAAGGGACAACATGGTATGTCTGTCCTGCAGTCTATGTATAATGCAGAACGCAATGGTCTGTTTTCCCCATCTGCTGATGTGATCTGCAATGTCCCACAATAGGGACAGTTACCACAGCCAAGGGAGCGTGAATCGGCAGGGCCCACAGGCTATAAATCTCAGTGATGAATGTTGTGACTTAGAGTGCAGAGAGGGACAGGAAAACAGAACAAGTAGAGTGATAGATCTTTGGGTAGATTGCATTTACCAGCCATGCCCAGCAGGAGAGGCAGAGTAGAACTCGATAGTCACACAAAATATGAGAATACACAAAAATAGGTCTTAGTGGTCATTTACCATTCCTCTTTCATATCTGTTAGACTACAGTGCTACAAACCCTGGCAGACTCCACTCATTCAAAGGCAGAGAAGAGATTTTTGTTCTCATTTCTCTTTTCTTCATTTTGGAGAAGATTTTTTTTTTTTTACTTTTTTGGGGTTTTTTCTTTTCTATTACTTTTATCTAAATCTATTTTTAACACCTTAACAGGATCCTTCATCTAACTTTTCACTCCTCGTTTTTTATTTATTTTTATATTGAATTTCTTTTATTTCCCCTTCCCTGCCCTCTCCACTTTATTAGCACTAAGCTTTATTAATCTTTAGGTATTTAGTTGTCTCTATGCTTTCATGTTGGAATTCTTTTCTATTATTCATGGTAGCATGGTCATTGCAAGCAGTAGACACTTACTGAATAGCAAGATCTGATTTATTTCACATTTATATTGTACTTGCAGATTTCATTGTTAAAAGTTGTAAAGTGGTAACTTTCAATGGCTCTTATAATATGTCATTGGTTCTGTTTGTTGCTCTTGCCACACTGGCATGGTCTTTGCTATTAATCATTTTGCTGTAACTCAATATCTTTTTTACCTTTGTGTCCTTCACAATAATACAGTTCATTTCCAGAGATCTGGAAAATGGGCCAATTTCACTGAATCCCACCTTCATCAAATTTATGAAAGTGGTTAGAGCCTGGGACAGAGGCAAGGGTCTAGAGACAGTCACGCCCAGAGTACATAACTGGAAAGCAGACATTTACAACACCATCAGCAGTCTTTCCAGTATAATCTATACACAGAAACACACACACACACACACACACACACACACACACACACACACACACATGAAAAATGAGAAAACAAGACAATAAAATGCCTTTAAAAACATCTATAGAAAAAAAATACATCAATAGACTAAGGCAGGCCAAATAGCTTAGTAGATTAAAGTGCCTACAAGCAGGTGCAGGGACTAGGGGTTCGATTTCCGGGCCTGCAACCAAGGCACGCTGAGATGACAATTGAGACTGGGCGTGGTGACACGTGCCTGTAATCCCAGCTCTTGGGAGGCTGTAAACAGGAGAGTCACTACAAGTCCGATGTAGTAGTGAGACCCTGACCACCCTGTAGACTCTTCCCTAAACTAAAAAACTTTTAAAAAATTTTTTAAAAAGACATCGATGGAGAGGACATCAAAACTGAAACAGCTAACCTATACAAAGTAATAAATGATGAGACAGAAAAGCAAATAAAATGTGCTTGCAGAGCTTAAAGTGGTATAACTAAACATATAACAGCAGCTCTACCTTAGTATTTGAGGACCACCCATATCATTTCCTGTAACTGTATTCATTTATATTAACTTGCAGTGTATCAGTGCCCACCTTTTCCACATCCTCATCAGCATTCATTAACTTTGTTACTAATAGCCGCCCTCCCTGGCTGGAGTAACACTGCACTGAAGTTTTGACTTGCATTTCCCTGGTGACTACTGATATATGGCAATTTTCATATACCTGTTGGTCATTTGTATTCCTTCTTTACAGAAATATCTATTTAGATTTTTTTCCTATAGTTAGAAAACAGAAAGATTTTATGTTAATTTTTTATATGACAGAAATGATAACTACCAGGCGTGGTGTCACACACCTGTAATCTTATTACTCTGGGAGACTGAGTCAGAAGGATTACTGTGAGCTGTAGACCAGCCTGGGCTACAAAGTAAGTTCAAGGTCAGCCTGACCTACATAGTACATCTCTCCCTCCCTCCCTCCCTCACACATACACAAAGATAAGTATAGCTATTACTGACCTTGTTATCTAGATT